AATATTTTTATGGTTCATACATAAAATGAAGTCTTCCTACCATTTTCTTCATTAACTCATCTTTTTTCAGTTCTATTTAAATGTGTTCCAAAATACATAGTATTTTAGTACACTCATATATATATATATATATATACACATATAATTTATCGGAGAATGCACATCAAATAATTTTCAAAAGATTTCATTATATGAATGTATAATCAAAATGGTTGTAATCTCTCTTATTGAAGCAACAGGTATAGCTATTACAGTTAAAATGAGAATAGAGAGATAGATAATCAAGGGAATATTGAAAAATGGAGAATGAAGGAATAAAACCTCACAATCCACAGAAAAAAGCATCAATAAGGGGAAAAAAAGTAACCAGACTTAGTATAAAAGACAAAGATGGAACAATTAGGAAGACAGGACCAGTACATATTATAACAGAATCTATAGGTGAGAATAACTTTAGAATTACCAAAAATTCAATTTGGTTATTTATTCAGCCTAAAGAAGAATGAAATTATGTTGTTTGCAGGTAAATGGATGCAATTGGAACAATTCCTATTAAGCAAAGTAAGCTATGCTATAAAAGGTCAAAAGTTGCATGTTTTCTTTCATATATGGAAGCTAGACCTATAAGTTAAATGTATGTATGGAAGCATATATGATCATATGCATATATACAATCACAGAGAGAAGAAAATTACATCAGTGAGTCTGCCTGGAAGGGCTATGGGAAGTGGGAGAGAGAAAGAAAGTGTTAGAGAATGAAAAATATTGAAACAACCCACCATGAATATTACATAATGTACCGTACAGTAATCTGTTGAATAATAAGGAAGCATGGTATAGAGAATGAGTGAGTAATGGGGGCAAGAGGTTAATTTGGAAAAAAGCTTGATATGTACAGACTTGAAGTACCAAGGCAAGGCCCCTTTGGACTATCAATATATAATTAATTACAAAAATGAAGGGAAAGAGGCAAAAATAAATCCTTCATGCGGGTGGGTGCCAGTGGGAGGGGGTAGGCACAAGGAAAGGGGAAATGTGGGTGCATATGACAGATGTGTTTTGTATCCGTATATGAAAACAGAAGAATAAAACATATTGAAATTGTTCTATGGTGGGGAGGAGGGAAAGAGGGAGAATGATGGAGGGGTAAATCCCACTAAAATATATTTTAAACACATATGTAAATATTACACTGTATTCCTCTGTACAACTATGATATACTTAAAAATCATAAATATAAAAGAAGCTAATTAAGTATTCTTTGTTTGACACATGAAGTTGGTTGTGACCTTATCAGAGAGAAGCTTCATTCAAGTGTGGGGGCAGAAAAAAATGAATGAGGAGAGGACAAAATAGAGCCATATTCTAATCTAAATCTCCAGCTTCCCTATTTCACTTATAAGTGTCCTCTTATATCATATGTATAAATTTCAGTCACCCTATTTTAATATCCAATTTTTAAAATTTTTTGTCATTATTGTGATAGGCTGCATTCACAAAATTTCTTACAATATATCAAATATATGATAGTTGAATTCACCCCCTCCATCATTTTCTTTTATCCTCCCTACTCCCCATTCCTGGAATAGTTTCAGTTGGTCTCATTTTTTCATTTGCATATATGTACACAGTACTTGTATCATATTTATCCTCCTACACCTTTACCCACGTTTTTCTGCTCCCACTGGTACCAACCCCCTCAGATAGGACCTGTTGTACCCTTGCTTTCTCCAATTTTGCAAAAAAAAATTGACATTTTTGCTCATTTAAGGACTATGTAATTTTTGATTTATATGTCTTTCTTTTCAAATTTGTGGAGATTTCTCATGAGGTTCCCTCAGACACTTTCCTAGAGTCTAAAGGAACTTTTAAATGATCCCTAATTTAAAGATATTTAGTATCCAATAATACAGTAAGGAACATAAATGTCAGAACTGTTAAGTGGAAACTAGTACAAAATCAGGTAAGTACCATCTGGTGAAGATGAGGAAAAAGCAATTTGATTACAAACAATTGGGACGTTTCTCTTGGAGGAATTTATATTTGATTTCAAAGAAGAGCAGAAATGAGATGGAAAAGAGGGAGAAGTTATTTCTGGTGAGGGAAACAGTACTTTCAAATTAACTGAACAAAGTGCACAGGAAAGAGTGAAGTTGTGTATGTGGCAATGTTCCCAGAGTTGCACAGGAGTATGCAAGATGACATGATGCAAACAGACTGGAGAAACTATAATTCTAAAATGAGGAAAGTGGATCTGCTTTGAAAACTAATGAGGTACTGCTATGAATTTTTAAGCAAATATAATCCTTTTTTTCATTTATCTACTAGAATAGAGCACTTCAAACTGCTTGAGCCTATTCAGTGTGTTAGAAATACACTATTGGACATAGCAAAGAAGGCTTTTCTCTTTAAGGCACAGTGCTAATGGTGGCAATTGGGAAGGACTGAGAAATTATATATGTATTAATAAACAAATTTACTAACAAATATGTACTAATTAAGTATACTAACAAATTAATACATAGTTTAAGGAAGAGAAAACAACAAGTAAGAATGGTAAAAGCAGTTGGGATAGAACAATCTATTTGAATACAAACCAGTTAATAGCATCAAATTTCCTGTACATGTAGTGTAGGACACGAAGGTACAATGAAATCACACAGTGAAGAAGTTGAAGAACATGGCTGAACCTCACACCTTCTAGTTTCTTCTCCAAATGCTGAATATATTTCATAAACCATATTAATTCCACAACCTCCAATAATGGCTCAACTATACAAAGACTCTTTTCTGCCTGTTTTACATTTTATACACAAAATGGTAAAAACAACTGTAAAAATTACATCATTTATACAATATTAGAAAAATTATCTTCAAATAGACTTTAGTGAAGTTCTTTTGGGAGAAAAGGGGTGTGACAGGGTTTTGAAATCAGGGCTTTGCTCTTACAAAACAAGTACTCTATTGCTTGAGCTACACCTCCACTTAAGGCAATTTGTTTTAATATCCTTGTATAACAGTGTATCTTTAATTAATTTTATGAGGTGTATACTTTGATAGTACTTAATATCTCCACAGAAATGATGTCAGTACAGGAAATTCCCTCTAGGATTTGGTGGAATGCTTTAACTTAGCAAGGGACATAATTATAACTCTTGAACCAAAGGTAGTCTTTCAGTTTTCATTCTTCTAATCTCAAGTACTTGAGATCAAAGTATGTACATATTCTTAAATTGTAAGTCTTTTACCATAAAGCAAACAATGTACTTCAGAAAGCTCTTTTCAGTGAAATCTAGGTTAAGAAATCTACTCTCAATTTTACTTTAATTTTAGGAACTATAACTATTTCCCTAAATACCATATTATTTCATTTTATCTCAATTTTGTATTTCTAGCTCTTCTAGAAATTGAATAATGTGGGGAACTATAAAGAGGTAAAGTATAGTAATTCATCTCACTTTTTTATTGTGAGGTGGAATTTCAAACTATATAGATAAGGTTATAAAAAATGTGTTAAATAATTCAGATATATACATTAAAATTTTTTCTAATATAACTAATTTCATGGTTTACATTTAATATTCACAAAACAATTTTTACTGCCTTTCTTTGATGTTTTGATTATAGAAGAAGAAATTCATTCAACCATAGAATTTATTATTAGATATGTCAGTGTCTATGTCCCAATGGATCACCAAGTATTATGAGTAAAAGAAAACAAGTTGAGATTCAGAATTTTTCTAGACATTAAAGTTTTTACCCTTTTCTAAGTATTAAAACAGATACAATCAAGGTAGCCCTGTTTACTAATTTATTCTTCTATGGAATATATTAGAGAACATATAATTTTCTAAGGAAATAGAAAAACAGAAAAGAGTTAACAGATTTTTTAAAAGATACTATTTCTTATGATGATAATTTAAAGTTTTCCTTGTAGACTAATCTTCAATGATAACATCTCCATGTGCAGAAGCAAAGACTCTAGTAGAGATCATAAATAGGACATTAAAGACTAGGTCTTCTATCCAGGTCATCAGGATGGAACTAGGATATAACTTTTCTTTCTTCTCCCTCCTAACATTTCACAGTTCCTTTCATAGAAAGAAGTTAACAGCTAACCTGACAGTGCTTGTGACATAAGGATATTGTTAATATATGTGAGAAAAAGAAAGCAATGTACAGTGTATGCAAGAAATTGCTTGGTATTGAAGATGTGATACAATACACAGAATGAGATAACTGTTTCTGGGACATTCAGATTAAAACTTTATGAGGTAGCATTTAATGGAAACCATACCTTATAAACCTTAGAAGCTTGGAACATAATCAGTGAGTACAATGGTATGGACACAATTAATGAAATGAAATGTGTGTTAATAAAAATGGGTATGAATCTGGGAAAGGGGGGAAGAAATGTGATAAGCTATGCATGTTTGTTTCTATAGCTTTGCAAGGTAACTTTCTTTAAAGATGAATTGCTTTCCCCTAATTCTTTAGTGATTGCTTAAAATCTCTAAGGTATGAATTTAACATAACTGTAATATGATTTGAATGAAGATTTCCCTCTCCTGGAGAATACATAAAAGCTGTTATCCCAGTAGAAAAAATACCTGAGGGTGAAATTGATTTTAAATTTATTGTAGAGAACTATAAATGGCCACTGAAATAATCTCAGGAAAATGTAACAAATATAAGCCCGTTAAATTTTTATGCTCTTCTTACATAAACTCATAAACATAACTTTTCACTATAAGAATGCTGTCTGGAATTTTAAAATACCTTGTGAATTTTGAGAAGCACATCATGAGATAATAGGTACTGACATTTAAAGAGAACAAATGCCCCCAAGAAAGATAAGTAGCTGTATTCCAGAGAGAGCTGAAGATTGTTGAAGACAAAACTCCTTCATCTGTCACAGAGAGAAAGCAAATTTAAATTTTTAAGTTCCTATTAGAATTGTAAGTGTCTCTATTTCCTGTCTCAACAGAGAAGGTAATAATATGGAGATCAACTACTCCTGGACAACTGAATTCATCCTCACGGGATTTACAGATGATCAAGAACTGAAGACCCTGCTGTTTGTGATCTTCTCTGCCATCTATATGATCACCATGGTGGGGAATCTTGGTTTGATAGCCTTGATTTACACGGAACGCCGTCTTCACAAACCAATGTACATCTTTCTGGGAAACCTGGCTCTGATGGATGCCCTCTGTTCCTGTGGCATCACTCCAAAGATGTTAAAGAATTTCTTTTCTGAGGACAGAAGGATTTCCCTCTCTGAATGTATGGCACAGTTTTATTTTCTCTGTCTTGCTGAAACTACAGACGCTTTTCTTTTGGCAGCAATGGCCTATGACCGCTATGTGGCCATATGCAGCCCACTGCAGTACCACACCAGGATGTCCAAGAAACTCTGTGTTCTGATGACCACAGGTTCCTACATAGTGGGATGCCTGCATCCCTTGGTTGAAGTATTATTACTGTTTAGGTTAACTTTCTGTAGGTCAAATCAACTTAATCATTTTTTCTGTGATATCCTTCCATTGTATAGAATTTCCTGTGTGGACCCTTATATTAATGAATTAATGGTATTTATCATGGCAGGGTCAATTCTAACCTTTACTATTATCATAGTCCTAATATCATATTTTTATATCCTTTTTACCATATTCACAATGAAATCTAAAGAGGGAAGAGGAAAAGCCTTATCTACCTGTGCATCCCATTTTCTCTCTGTGTCAATATTCTATGGTTCTCTTCTCTACCTGTATGCTCAACCAAGTTCAGTTAATGAAGAGGATAAAGATATACCTGTGGCAATTTTTTATACTATAGTCATTCCTTTATTAAATCCTTTTATTTATAGTCTAAGGAATAAGGAAGTAATAAATGTTATTAAATGGAAAATAAAGAAGAGAAAAGTCATAACAATTTGAAATTATATCATCTCCCTTGGAGAAGTGACATCAACTTGCTAATCACATTTTCTAAGTTGATGTCAAAAGAAGAAGTGAAAAATGTCACTTAATGAACAGAATAATTTGCAAAAAATTAAAATGTGATATTTGAGCAAAATGAGTTTTGAAAACAGGGATTACATCAAAATTACCTAGAAATCTCATGTACTAGGATCCTTTGGAAGTAAATTAGAGAATCACTCATGATGGCAAGAATGTGATTAGTCAAAAATTTTGACAGATAATGAAACTTGAAATAAAAGCTAGTATGTATAAGGAATTTCTCATATTAATAATGTCACATTATCAGTTTTTCCTTCTTGCTGAGAACAGAAACTATTTTCTTCTGTCAGTAATTACCTTTGACCATGTGTAATCATATGCAGCCAATTTTAGAACCACTTTGGTTAATATTTAAGCCTTCACTTAATGTCATTGGTTAATTTCTCAATCCTTAAGTCCAAAATCTCAGGCCAATCTAATGTTTCAAGTATTAAACTTCTTTTAACACCATCAGTGGGAATTAAATTTCATATTTGAATTTAACTTTGAACTGAATTTAGCTCATTAAATACAGTAACTGTGAATATGTATAGAATGCTCTAATATTATTTTCATATTTAGTGCTAAACACTTTTATCCTCAACTCTGAACTAAAGAATCTACATAATGGTAATTTATGAATATATAGTTAAAATATTATACTTTATAATGAAAATTCCTATAAATTAAATTTCTTATGTGGTTTGTCTATTTGTCCACCACACATGACACTGTAGTTACTGCATACATCCATTAAATAAAGTTTTTCTAACTGACATCTTTAATAGTTTTGTTGTTCATCATGAGTACCCAAATCAACACTTATTCTGTTGAAAGAATTGTCATGTTCACAGGTTTAACAAAAGATGAAGATGTTGTTCAACAACAAATGAGCCAGAAAATAGCAAAAGTTCTAAATATCTAAATAAAATATTGGTCAAATAGAGTGCAAGTATAAAAGAAAAACAAATTATTGAAAATATACTATATGCTAGGCAGTAATGTAGACTTTTAATATATATTAACTATAAACATTTTGATGCTCTTCTTAAATAAAAACCTCAAGCAATTAAATGAGTAACTTGTCCAAGGTCATCCCAGTAAGCCCAATGCATCTAAAGTTTGAATAAACACTGCCTTTCTCCCCTTTCTTACAATTCAGCTATTATGTAGCATTAGAAGTTAACTGTACCTTAAAATACGGAAAACATTCTGATAGTTGCAGCAAAACATAAATGAGTTTGACCATTGTCAATGTTTAAGCAAATGACTATGTCACTGGGATTGGAAAGTGCAGCGTAAACACTGTGGAAGAACCAACTAGGTTGCAAATTGTTGCAGAGAGGTCTTAGAGACTGTAGAGGTATGGGTAGATGAGGAACTGAGAACCTTCAGTGCAAACTCGGAAGTCTAAATTTGTTTAGAGTCATCAGACATTGGACTCTTCTTGATGCTAAATAATTGTGATTGTAACTTTCAGAAAACATATCTGGCAATTGATTGATTGAAATAAGCTTGCAGTGAGAGAAACTTCAATAATTTTTTATTAAGAGTGGAACATGAATATAGTGAAAGAAAGGAGATGGGTACACACAGGTAAACAACATTTTAAAGAAAAATAAAAAAGTAAATTAAAATCCTTGAAACAGAAAATGAAATCTTCCTTTTTCTGCCAACCCAATATCAAATCTGATTTCATAATACCAATACAATACAGCATCTGATATACTTGGGCATTCAGTAAATATTTTCTTCAATGTGTTTTTAATATGTTCAATAGTTAATATATGATTGTTACTTTTACTTTTGAATTTTTAGTATTTTTTAAGATTTATTTCCTGTTATAGTAGGTAATGATAATTAAAACCTGCATAAACAAAATCTCTTTGTCTTACATATATTTTAGTAGTATAAATAAATCAATAGACAGAATAGTTTGAGGAGATTGAGTGAAGTGGATCATGTGTATCCTCTATGTTTAATATTTTAGGTAGAAGTATGTACATTGAGTTCCTTTCCCTTTTCAACATACAGCATGTTTTTTGTTATGCATTTCTATATCATTAGCCCAATCCTTAGCAATGCTGAATTTCACACCTGTGTTAAATTAAAACTTATTTTATGCCAATTAGACCTCTCAAAAACTGATTTTTCCTGAAAAATTGGTTGATAATTTGGCTTACTTGGAATTCTAAATTTTATACAAAACTTTCCACTGAACTCTGAAGAAATGCTTCCATTATATTGTGTCAACCTTGGTTGCTTTGAGAAATTGCAAATGATTCTGATTCCCATTCTGTTGGTATTTCTCTGAAGACAGAATCTTTCCCATATCCCGTTCTTTATTAAATTATAGAATGAACAATTATGGCTTTTTTTCTGGATATTGGTGCATTTAGTTGTCACCTCTCTTTAGTTTCTTCCAGAGTTACTAGGCCTTTCCTTGTCATTAATGATGTTGATATTTCAAAAGAGATTCTCTCAAATATTTTTATAATGTTCATTAGTTTTGTTTCATCTCACATTTGCTCATTTTTAGACTTGTCTAAAGAAATTTGGGAGAAATGCCACAGAAATGTGCTGCTCTGTTCATTTTATTGTACGAGGGAGCATTTAGTACCAATATAAATTACTACAAAAGTGTTAACCTTGGTCACTAGGTAAGGTAGAGTGTTAGATTTCACAAGCTTTGGTGAGACCATTTCCCTCTGAATATCAAGACTTCTAAACTCCTACAACTTGTAAATTTGTAGAGTACAAATTTCCAAAATTGATCACTCAAGAAATCTTATACACATTTTTTTCACCTATTGAAGATATATTACCATGTAATGATCGCTGATATTTTGGGTAAACAATGTAGTCTGGCCATCTTAATTGTACATGGGTAAGTCATTTCATCAATAAATGATCCAGCAGATTCTGAGAAAATGAAACTTGATAGAATCAACGAATCAGTAATTGCTCAATAATATATGTACCTAGGTATTTGGGGCCAATGCAATATTTACATTACTCTGTCAGAGACTGATGCTTCCTAAATACTGATGATGGAGAGACATCCCATTATAATGTGTAAGTTATTTTATGTTCTCATCAAGGTGAATTTCTTTTTTATTATCATAGAAAGGTTCATAAATTGCCAACCTGCTACTGAATGGCTATGTGATCTTCTGAGGATTGTTACCTTATTTGGGTTCTTGCAGTGGTATTTGTTTTTGAAAAATAGAGTAATTATGAGGAATAATAGATACATGAGTTTTGAAGAGTTAGATAACATGCTGCTAAATATATCCATGCTTATAACTATCAATGACTCTGTTTTGTTCATGTGTCATGTGCTAAAAATGGAGAGGCAATAAAGGAAACTGCTTGACCTCATGTAGCTCAGTTTCCAGTATTTTGTTAGTTAGTACATCTTTCATCCTAGATACACTCTAATGAGTATTTGAATGTGAGGTAAAGAATGCAAAACTTCATATCCACTCCAATACATCTGTTCATAAAGATTTCCTTATCCATCAGATTTGAAACTATGTCCCTCTAGATAGCACACACAAGTCATTCACCTCTACAATGAATCTAAATGTTCTTACTGTGTACTACTTCTATTTCTACAGAATGGATATGGATATACCTTCTGCTGTCCTATGAAAAGATTTCTCCTTATAAGAAAAACTATGTGGAGTTACGTTCACCAGTAATATAATTTGCTTGCCACACCATCTCAAACTGACCCACTCAACATTACCCATATCAATGATATGGGTAACATGGGACTCTGAGTCACCTTCAGGGACAGTTTATTGTGTCCTCCAGCACTGCTCATATCTCCTCAAGAGCTGCATCACAGTCATATCATAATGGAGTATTCCTTGACTATCCAAATTTGTATTTTGTTAGTGTGACAATTTCTAACTCATGAAGAGAAGTCTTATTTCATTGTTATTTCAGGTCTCAGAGTTTGAATCTTTGTCACAACCAGGGCTTAGAGCATAGCAAGGAGTTATTTTTAAATACATTGTAGTTTTTCATGCAAAGAATAATGCCTTACTTCAAAACCTTAGGCATATCAGTAGGATTCTCCTATTGGTATACTCCATGAACTTCATATTCATTTCATATGTTTCCTCATCAATTACATATCTCTAATTGCATAGATCTGCTGAGTCAGTCACATTCCTCAAAATCAAACAGTGCCTAATAAAGCTTAAATGTCATAGATCGTTTTTCTCATTCTGGGAACTGCAAAAAATTGGAATTTTCTCCCTTTTTGGAAGATAAATGTGAACATAAGTTACATATACACTGGGTTAAGTATTTAGAAACATTTGAAAATAAACAACACAATAGAATAACTGACAAGAAATATGTGTGTTGTGGTTTGGTTGTGAAAGAACACACAATGGCTCATATATTGAAGGCTGCATTCAGGTTGCAAGTAATTTCAGATTAGGGCTTTGGGAGATTATTATATCCAGAGGGCTTGGACATAATCAATAGATTAATGAATTGATGATTTACAACTTGATAGCATTATTAGCAGATGGTAAAAATTAGCTGGTGAGACTGCTTAGAAGGCAGTAACTGACATTATGCATTCTCTTAAAGGGATTATCTTATCAATTGTCCCATCTCTCTCTGTTTGCTGGAAGCCTTTGGTGAATAACTTTTTTGTGTTTTCTGCTGGCTGTCTGCCACTCTTTAGGACTAAAATCAATAGAAGTGGCCATCTATCAAATGACAATTCTGATACCAAAAGCTAAAAAATTTTCCCTCCTGTAGCTCCTTTACTCAGGGATTTTTTTTTTGTAGCAATGAACACTGACTTATATAACCTGCCGTGTTTGCCTTCATTTAAAGGGACCTGAACTAAGAAATACCATTTGCTATTTCACCAGAGTGCCTGAGTCCTACAGGAAAAGTCCAATGGGAAT